TGCTTTAATTGTCGTTCAATTTTGGTCAAGTATCCCCGGCGTTATTTTATCAAGAAACATATCTCAATCTCGTTATTTACCTATTACAATGGAATATTTTATCGATCAAGAAAAACATTTCTGTTTAATTCTTTTGTATACATATATAACCTTTTGCATAGGAGTAACTGCAATGGTAGCGATAGGAACGATGCTTATAGCATATCTTCAACATACCTGTGGAATGCTTAGCATCTCACGGTACAAAACGGACACAGAGAAGGCCTCTCGCAAAAATTATAATTATAAACAAAATTGTATAAATATTGAATAAATCTAACGATAACATTTATTTTTAGAAAGCTAAAAAAATATCTATTTGGTAAACAAATATTTCTTTAGCTTTCTAAAAATAAATTTTCATTCTAAAAATAAATAGTCGTACATTCTTTATAGTTATCGTATTAATCGCGCAATGAGATTTAATATGCTGAAAACTGAGAAATTTATATTCGAAGAAATATTTCATGCTATAGATATTCATCGACAAGCTATGAGGTTGGTATGCAAAAATTATACATACATATAATTTATACAGGATGTCCGGTAATAACCGCCTAAAATCTCATGGGCTGGTAGAGCAGATTCAACTGGATCGAAAAGTCCTGTACGATTTTGCAAAATTCGCAATCGTTAACGAGATATTAATTTTTGAAGATCGGCAAATAAACGCGTATTCGTTCGGCCCACCGCTGAATACTAGCGAAGGGGCACCCATCTCGCCGCGTTGCTAGGCGTGTGGGGATAGAGTTTATCCCCATATGCCTAGCAGCGCGATGAGATACGACCGGCACGACCGCCCCACCGGTATTCAGCGGTGGGCCGAACGAATACGTGCTTATTTGCTGATCTTTAAAAATTAATATTTCGTTAACGATTGCGAATTTTGCAAAATAGTACAGATCTTTTCCGATCCAGTTTAATCTACTCTACCAGCCCACGAGATTTTAGGCGGTTATTACCGGACACCCTGTATATTAATATTTATTTATGTTTAAAGATTGTCTGAACTGTTGGCATCCAATTTTGAGATAATGCTGTTCTTCTTAATAATATTTGGAGTTACATCTATGAGTCTCAACCTCTTGCAAGTAAATCTTGGATTCCCAAAAAATAAATTTAAATAATATTTCATAAGATCGGAAGAGCACACGTCTGAACTCCAGTC